TCTTCAATTTCTGTGCTATAGACATGCTATATGGGGCATTTATCTTCTATTTCTGTGCTATAGACATGCTATATGGGGCATTTATCTTCTATTTCTGTGCTATATACACACTCTGTGGGTTTGGATCATCCCTTAAGCCATGTTTTCTGTGTTACAGTGCTGTGCTGTGTTACATAGGCATAGGTAGCGCCTTGCCCCATAGTTTATGTGTTATAGCCCTCTATTACTTATTACATGGGAATAAATAATGCATTGCTCTCTAGTTCATGCACTGCAGTGCCGTATTACTCGTTATATAAGCATAGATTATCACTCAATCCACAGTTCATGCATTGCAGTGCTATATTACTCGTTATATAGCCATAGATTATCACTCAATCCACAGTTCATGCATTGCAGTGCTATATTACTCATTATATAGCCATAGATTATCACTCAATCCTTAGTTTATTTATTACAGTGCTATATTTCTCATTATATAGCCATAGATTATCATTTAATCCACAGTTCATGCACTGCAGTGCCATATTACTCGTTATATAAGCATAGATTATCACTCAATCCACAGTTCATGCACTGCAGTGCTATATTACTCATTATATAGCCATAGATTATCACTCAATCCTTAGTTTATTTATTACAGTGCTGTATCACTCATTATATAGGGATAAAGCACATTGCTCCACGTCTTACAGCGCTGTATTCTATACGATACAGGGACAGGTTGTACTTTATTCCATAGTTCATGCATTATAGTGCTGTGTTGCCTGTTTATGCCGATCACGCAGGCATAAAGTATCTTAATCTCTATTCTATCTTAGTTTCTGTCCTGCAGTGCCGTATTACAGGTTGTGTAGGCATAAATGGTGCCTTATCCTATAGTTTTGTGCTGCAGCAACGTGCTGTGCAGCCATATGGCACCTTACTGCGATCCCATGCATTGCAGTGCGCTGCATCTGATAGCAGAGGATCCACGCTGTGCAGTTTACACCTCACTTATGGTGTTTCCTGCAGCTCTGGGTCTCCCTTATGGGTGGGAGAGCTGAGGAAGGAGGGAGGGTGGTTTGTGTGCAGCTCATCCGCTTGGAACGGATCTCAGGAAGAGCTGCTGGGATCCCTGGAGAGGACAGAAAGGCAGAAGGAGGGCGGAAGGTGGGACTGGAAGCGACGCTGAGTGCGACAGGAGGCAATGAAAGCATTCAGGACCTGTTGGCTGAGCAAAAACCCTCGGCTCCCTCTGACCTTCGGCTCTCGGAGGGCTGTTGGGAGAGGGAGCAGAGCCGACGGTGGGTCTGGAGGTGAGGGATCGGAGGAGGAACCCCCAGCAGCAGCTCCCAGCCCTCACTCCTGCCGGCAGAGACCCAAAGGTGTCTGCAGACCCCTTTTGCTTTGCTCGGAGCCGGGGCTGGACCTGTGCTGCGTGCCAAAGGCAGGGCCTGCAGAGGTGCCTTCGTTTCTGATGCCTCCCACCGACGCCTCCGATTAATTGCTTTGTTTGTTTCATCAGATACTCTATCTAAAGGCATTTGTGCCTGAAGCCACGGAAGATAGATGGACAAGCCAAGCAACTTCTGACCCTGCATCATTTTCTGGGGCAAAATTGTATGGCAATGTATCCTACAAGGTAACGTAGCCCCTGCAGTGAGTGCAGAGGATTCCTTTTGCTTGGCCACCAGCTGTCACACAGGGAAGGGCCCTCATGCCACGCATCCCAGCCTCGGCTCAGCGCAGCTCAGAGGCAGAATCGGAGGGATTGGGCAACGAGCACAAATCCACCTTGCGTCCCCAATCCCGCTGTGTGTGCAGGCAGGTCACTGTGTTAACGGGGCAGGAAAGCAGCAGGCGACAGAGCTCAGATGCTTGCCAGCACCTCGGCACAGATGGGGGCATCCAGGTGGCACAGAGCTGAGAACAGCAGCTGTCAGACAGCTGAAAAAGCACCCAGTGACCCCGAGGGCTGCGTCAAAGGGCTGCTGGTGCCTCCCTCGCTTTCCCCGGGTATCATTGGAACGGCAGAGCTCCCGCTGAACTCAATCTTTGCACCAAACTTTGCACTGTTGTCTTTAATGCTAAGCTTCAGCTGCTCCGTTTGCCCAGGGTGAAAAACAAACACCCTGAAAACAGTGAGGGAGCAACAGCGCAGCTTCGGGGTGTGCTCAGTCGGTCAGGGTGCGAGTTCATGGTCAGGACTTGGTTCCCATTGCTTCTAAAGGCAGACAGGCTGAGTGAAGCCCTGCAACAACGCCTCCGAGCCGATAGAAACGCGTTGTTATCCATTTCTTGGCCTTCAGGATGATGTTGGAGTGACGTGGCAAAAGCAGAGGGGGGTCTGCGTGGTTGTGGGGTTGCGTGGTTGTGCTGCGTGGCTCCTGTGATGCGCTGCAGGAGCTCAACGCTGGCCTAACGGAAGGAATTGAGCATCGCAGTTGGGGGGAGCTGGCGTGGTGGGGGGCAGCTGCAGCGCTGCAATGGACTGAACTGAATGAACACCTCTTGTGCTCTTCCAGCTGAACCAAACCTTTGGGTTTTGGCCGGAGCTGAAGCTCTGTGCCCACAGCTTTGCTCCTTTGAGCCTCCTTTGCCCCCTAGCAAAGTTCCTAATGGAGCACTGTTGAGCAGATGAGGTGAGAACAAGGCTGGAACCAGAGCTCCCTATGGGGCTGATTGCTGGGTGAGACAGCAAACAAGGCCTCACAACACCCTTTGTTGCCCCGGGGTGCAGAATCCTGGCACGGTTTGGTCGCTGTGCTCCCTCACACAGGCTGCAAAGCACAGAGCCAACCTCACCAAACCCACCCTGCTTCCTTGTAAGCAGCTCCGCAGCCCTTCAAGCGAAGCCGGGAGTTGACCTTTCCCCTTTCTCTCTTGCAGGGTGTCTGGTGAGGAATGCAATGGGATCAATAGCATGTCTGCAGAGAGCGGCCCCGGGACGAGACTGAGAAATCTGCCAGTGATGGGCGACGGCCTCGAAGCCACCCAGATGTCGACAGCGCAGGCGCAGGCGCAACCGCAGCAAGGCAGCACCGTCGGCGTCAACCCCCCTCCTCCAGAGACCTCCAACCCCAACAAACCCAAGCGGCAGACCAACCAGCTGCAGTACCTGCTCAAAGTGGTGCTCAAAACGCTATGGAAGCACCAGTTTGCGTGGCCTTTCCAGCAGCCCGTGGATGCTGTCAAGCTGAACCTCCCCGTAAGTAGATGAGGGTGGAGAGGTTTCCCCCGTGGGAGGAAGGAGAAGGGCGGGCGTTCACCTTTGTGCCAAAGGGAGCCTTGAGGAAGGAGGTGCTGAGGCTTTGCTGAGTTCAGCTGATGGTTTGGCTTGAAGGGTGATGGGAACCCAGAGCCATTGGGGTTGGAGTCTGGAGCTTCCCCATTCCAAGCTCCCCAAAGCGACTCCCTGGGGTATTGATTGATGCTCGGTTGAACATGAGCCCACAGTGTGCCCAGGTGGCCAAAAAGGCCAATGGCAGCCTGGCCTGCATCAGAAACAGTGCTGCCAGCAGGAGCAGAGAGGTGATTGTGCCCTGTATTCAGCACTTGTGAGGCCGCAGCTCGAGTGCTGTGTCCAGTTTTGGGCCCCTCACTGCAAGAAAGATATTGAGGCCCTGGAACGTGTTCAAAGGAGGGCAATGAAATGGGGAGGGGTCTGGAGCACAGGGCTGATGAGGAGAGGCTGAAGGAGCTGGGAATGTTCAGCATGGAGAAGAGGAGCTCAGGGCAGAGCTCACTGCTCCCTATGGCTGCCTGAAGGGAGGCTGCAGTGAGCTGGGGGGCGGCCTCTGCTCTCGTGTCATCAGGGATAGGAGCAGAGGGAACGGCTTCAAGCTACGGCAGGGGAGATTCAGGCTGGACATGAGGAAGAATTGCTGTTCAGAAAGGGTGGTCAGGCACTGCAATGGATGCACAGGGAGGTGGGGGAGGCACCGAGCCTGGGGGTGTTGAAGGAAAGGCTGGATGTTGTGTTGAGGGACGTGGTTCAGTGGGAGCTGTTGGTAAGAGGTGAGCGGTTGGACTGGAGGAGCTTTGAGGTCTGTTCCAACCTTGGGGATTCTATGGTTCTATGATTCCCTGCAGTGCACGGGGGGTTGGAGCTCTGCAGAGAAGGAGACGCAACCACTTCTCTGTTCCAGGGCTCTGTCCATTGAAATCCCATTAAAAATGCCCCTGAACAAACCGTGGCACACGTCAGCTTTCCTCTTAGGAAAAGCAGCAAAGCACTGATGTCCTCAGACACCCAGGAATGGGGACAGGAGCTCCAGCCGGGCTGTGGCCCAGCTGATGCTTTGGGTTCCAGTTCACATTTTGGGATCTTTTAGAACGCTCTCAAAGCATTGAGGGCTTTGGGGGCTCTGTTTCTTTGGCTTTTCCACACCGATGGGGCTGTGGTTCTTCCTGTGGGGGTGGAGGTGGAGCAGAGTGAGCCCTTCCCAGCCAGTTCCCCGCCTGCCCTGAGCTGGGGAGCTCAGCACTGAGCCCAGTGCTCCAGGTGGGGCCTCCCCAGCGCAGAGCAGAGAGGAGATGAGCTGTTCTCCATCATACAACACCTGAGCTGTCGGATTTCTTGGCAGCAGAACCCCACAGACAGCTTTGCTTCTATAGCAACGGCGTTTCCAGTCCTCCCTAAAAATAGCAGCACCTTCCTTCGTATTACCTGGATGCCTTTAAGGGGCTGAAAGCGAATCTTATTTCCTCCCTTCTCCGCGTGTGGCTGCGCGACCTCAGGGTCAGTTGTTCCAAGGTGGGTTTTCAGCCCCACGATGATCCCACGCAGCCAATGCTGGTTCTGTGGCTGTGGCCCTGAGAGGGGGAATCACACAGAAGCCCTGAGGAAAGCACAGCATCACCCCTCACCTTTCCCCACTCGCCTTTCCCTGCTGCGTTCTGTGGGGGTTTGCCCAATAAATGACTCAGACAGTGGCCTGGGGAGGGGGGTTGGATCCTCTTGGAGCTGAGTTTGGGGACAATAAGGATCCCATCCTTATCTCTGTGCCTCTCTGCCCTCTGCAGGATTATTATAAGATAATTAAAACGCCGATGGACATGGGAACAATAAAGAAACGCTTGGAGAATAACTACTACTGGAATGCTCAAGAATGTATCCAGGATTTTAACACGATGTTTACAAACTGTTACATCTACAACAAGGTACGATGAGCTCCTCTGCGTTTTCAGAGGGGATCTGCTGGTCTCTGCAGGCTCCGTAGGTCCGTTGTGTTGTTTGTAGCTCTGTGAAAAGCCAAATTGTGGCTGCCTGCTTTGGAGCTCATAACTTTGACGTGGGGGAAAGAACAGCGCTGCAGAGAGCAGTGCCTGGAGCGGTGTCCTGCCCGGCTCTGCTTCCATTGCACTGCAGAAGATTCCCCTCCAGACAGCAGAAAGATCCTGGAAAGCACTGTGTGAACAGTTACGGAACCACCGGGGGTGCAGGGAGGGGATGTGGAATGTGAGGGAGCGCCGCGTTCACCGCCGATGGGCTGGGGAAAGGAGCTGAGCATCAGCGCGGCCTTTGGGTGCTGTGCGAAGATGGGAAAGCAGCACATTGGCAGAGGCTGTGCCAGGAAGATGCTGCTCGGAGCTGGAGGTGCTGCAGAGCCTCGTCTGGGAGCAACGGCCCCCAATGGGGAGTTTGCTGCTGTCCTCAGAGCAGCAGCAGCGCGGCGTTCCTGCAGCCCTGCCCCGGTTCAGCCCCGTCTCAGCTCCTGCCCTCCCCGTTCCTCCCAGCTCTTCTCCCTGGTGCTTCACCCTCCATTCGACCGCGTTCTCCTCCTCTTCCTCCTCTCAGAAACGTTGCACAAGACCCAGTTGGTTCCAGATGTGTTGTTCCAGCTCCATGGCCGCTCGCTGGAGGGTTGGCAGGCAGCTCCGTGGTTCCTTTCCTCCACTCCTCACTCCCCACAGTCTCTTCTTCTTTCTCAAAGCTCCTCCTTCGTACCCACGCTGACCACTGGGGGTGACTTCCCAAGGTTTGCGCTCCCTCTTTAACCCACAACAACTTCAGGCCCCGGCAGGCACTGCTTGTTACTGCAGATATTTGAGTCTTATTTGGGTTTTACGTTCTTGTCCTGTTCTGGTCCTTCCAAGTAATGCCTGTGGCCTTTGCCTTCTCTGCTTTGAGCCAACACAGTGCAGCTGGAATGAAGCTCTGAAGGCTTCAGACCGTCCGTGTCTGCATTATTTGCTGCCACATTCCCCCATCTCCCCATTTTCCCACTGCAGTGCCTTCCCATTCCTTTCTCCCTCACCCTTCCCAGTTCTCCATTCTCAAGAAATGGCTTTTGGACCACGCAGAGCCTGCAGACTGTCACCATTTCTCATCTTCCATCAGGCCTGGCTCTCGTTGGGCTCTTGGATGCCCTCCTTTGCTGCGAAACAAGCCTTCAGAGCAGCTGCCAGGCCTTGTTGGTGCCTTTTGCTTTGGATTCCTGGCCGGTTCTTCCTGTTCTCATCATTTCCCATCGTGTTTGAGAGCAAACATCCAGCCCAGTGCCGTGCACTCATGGCAATTAATTCAGAGCTCGTCAATGAAGTGTTGATGCCCAGCTTTGCAGTTTGCAGCTGCGCCGCTGCAGAGCACTTCCAAAGGACGCGTCCTCTCACCACCATCCTTCACACCTCCCTTGGCCTTTGCAAATGGAGCTTCCTGCTCCCAGCCTGCAAGGACTTGTGAAGGTGTCGACCTCCCCCATCCCCACCAGCCGTCCTCCTCCTTCACTTCTTCTCCTTCCCAGGTGCATGGGATGCTTTTCCTTCAGAGCTGATGCTGTCGTCTTCCATCTTCCTCCCACATGGGTGCTTTGCTGAGGGATGCAAAGTCAGGGGGAAATGACAGCCTGTAGGGACCCTGAGTCTTCTTTTTGTAGAATGACAGCACGGCTTTGGGTTATAAGGAGCCTTGGAGATCACAGAACCGTGGAAAGATGGAATCTGTTGGTTTGGAAAGGGCCTACAGACCACAGAATGATGCAGTGGGCTGCATTGGGAGAGTGCAGAAAGGTGGCAGAAGCACAGGATGATGGATGGCCTCAGGCACCTCCAGGGATGGAGCACAGGAATGGGCAGCAGTGCCAGCGCCGCAGCAAAGAGTTTCCACCTCATCTCCCACTCTTCCCCTCTTTCTCCTCCTCCCTCCATCCAGAAAGCAGCAGCACTGCCTGCACTGATCAGCACAGCTCAGTTTATCCTGCCATCACCCCTTATGTGCCCCTCTTCTCTT